AGGATCGGACATTGTTTCATTCTGCTGTGCATGGGGTCGCTATGAGTCAGTTCCAACTCGATGGCACCTGACAACAACAACATACTATTTTAGCAACTTTTCTGTAAGTCTAAAATTATTCCAAGATTGAAAAACAAAAAAACAGCAAATAAAACCTCTGCCCTTCCTGAACAGAGTGGGAGAAAAATACAGAACAAAATTAAAAACTTTAAAAAGATCAGATCTACTGGTTTGAAATAGACTTGTGGGACTCCTGACCCTGTGGTCCTTAGACACCCTTCAATCCTGGAACCAAACCCACCTTTGGGGATCACTTTTCAAAGAATTGACAAGCCACCTCTGAGGCACATACTCCTCAGAACAATCAACATAGAAGACCTACAAGGTTCTGACTGATAACAACCCTGTAATGGGTTTCTAAGAAGCAGTTTGTGGGTTTGAACCTCTGACTATGGTTAGCAGTCCTATGCTTACCCTACAGTGCCACACCAGGAGGCTATAAATTCAGATTCAGGGCACCAATTCCAGGGCAAGTTTTTCTTTGTGGGCTCTGGGGGAGGTCTTTATCAACAATCATTCCCTGGGTTTAGGAGCTTCCCAGCACAGGGACCCTGGGTTCAAAGAATGCTTGCCATTTCTAGCTCTTCTTTCGGGGTGGTAGTAGGTGCCTTTCTCTTCTGGCTTCTCTTTTCTTTTATCTCTTAAGAGATAAAAGGTGTTGCATACCATGCCCAAGGGAAACTTCCCTTAGGGTTGTGATGGGACTAAGGGTATTATATCCCACCTTTAGTCTTCTTACGACTGATTGGCTTATCACATCTGACCACATCAAGGGGTTCATTACATAACTGCCTAACCTGAGATCATGACTCAGCCAAGTTGACACATATTTTGTGGGGCACAACTCAACTCATGGCAAGTGCCAAGAAGATCAATCGAACAGGGAAGGGACTAGAGACTGAGGGATAGTGGAGATGGGGTTATAGGGTCAGGGAAGGTCTTTCTGTCATGGTGACATATGAGCAAAAACCTGAAGAATGTGACAGTGGATCATGTGATTTCTAGGTACATTCCTGGCACATCTGAGGAACAGCCAAGATTCCAGTGTGGTTAGAGCAGTTTGAACCAAAGGGAAACAGGTCAGATGTGATTCAAATTCCAGGCCAGATCATAGAGGACCTGGCAAATCATTGCAAGAAATCTGACGACAAGGAAGAGTTTTGAAACTATAAATGATAATTTGATGTCTCTGGATGTGTGCATGTATGTGTGAATGTATGTAAATGTCTGTTTTTACGTATATCTAGGCAAGTGTTTGTATTTTTCTGGAGAGAGACTCCACAGGCATCTTCAGGTTCCATTCAGCTTCAGAGAAGCTACTCCTGAATGGACTTTTCTTGGGAACCTCCTGGTTCTTTCTCCTCTGTTCACTGTGTCCTCAGAGAGGCATGGTGCACTGGAAATCTGGCTGTTTTCGAGGCAGAATTTTAGCAGGATATTTAATGGGTCTGCTTTTAAGAAAATACTCTTCTTTCTTTTCGGACACCATTCCTTTCACAAAGCTGGAGATATGACATGGGTCTGGGAGTTCTTTTTGTTTGTGCAAAGGCATCTCTCTCTACCAATCCCCTCTGAAATATTTGTATAAATGGAAAGCAGAGAAAGGTAAAGGGAGAGTCCATTTAGACTTCTTGGCACCTAAATGACACGTGTATTTAAAATAGCAGTGGCATAGCTTCCATAATCACAGCAACACACAAGCCACAACAATAAAAGAGGAAGACCCCCAATGAGGTGGGCTGTCACAGCGGCAGCAGCATTGGGCTTAAGGGTAGCAACGATTATGAAGCTGGCATAGGACCAGGCAGTGTTTTGTTCTGTGGGTGGCGACTTGATGACACTTAACAAAGAGAATAACAACAATAACAACAAACTACACCTGTAGGATCAGCACTGTCGTGTGAACCACAAGGTTAGCAGTTCAAACCCACCAGCTGCAACTCGGAACGACTTGACAGCACTTAATAGCTAGTGGGTTTCAACAGCCAATCCTGCAGTTAGCAGTCCAGTGTTTATCCTGTAGCACCAACAAGGCTACTAGCAGTAAGAGAAGAGGGGGCTAAGTCTTACTTATCAGGGCACCAGTAGCAGTAGGAATAGTACCAATGGTTGGCATATTGGGACGCATGGAACATTGTCCTGGATACACCTTCTCAGTAAGTCCCCCCAGCTCAGTCTGTTTGCAATTTTAGTGTGTAATTTCTTGATTTCAAATAAACACTCATTTATTTATAGTTTTAGAAAATAGGATTCACCTTTGACTTGAGAAAGAGATTTCTTGGTATAGGTTTGCTAGGATCTGCGTGGTAAAAATGATCTGTGAGTGGAATAGCGATTCCTAATTGAGATGGGGGCCTGTAGTTTACCTGCAAGTGATGAAACAAAGACAATACAGAAATCATTATTATTTTCTATCTGCAATTAAAATATCTTTTTATTTTTCAGAACAGAAGTCAGAGTAAGTATTTCATTTGTAATTTCAGGTAGTAAACGCCTCTTCACTCAATACCTCTATTCTCTCCTCCCTCCATTTTCTGGGATTGTAGCAACCTTGGAGAACATTTCTAGTACCTTAAGTAGTTGTACCTTAACTAAAGTCAACAAATTCAAGTTTAAAACTTTATCAGTGAGCCTTCGTAGTATGTTGTTGCTGTTGTTATATGCTATTGAGTCTGTTCTGACTCATAGCAACCCTGTATAAGGGTTTCCAAGGAGTGGCTGGTGGATTTGAACTGCTGACCTTGTGGTTAATAGTCAAGTGCTTATCCTACAGAGTCACATCATGGCAGAATGGCATAGTAGTAAACCATCCAGTTTGGCTATTTGCTTTTTGTCACAAAGAAACTTATAAGTATTTTGAAAAGAATAATAGTTCATATTTTAAAAGGAATCACAGATTCTAACAAGGCAGATGTTACATTCATGAAATGCAAATGGAACTAGTAAAATACGAGGGTAAATAAAAAAAGTAGTACTACAAGGGTTCCACTTCATATCTGCATAGGTTTAATCCAAACACAGTGTGTTTGAACATGTCTCTGTGATCAGTGGATAAGTGCAGACAAGTTCCCTTGTCTCATTAGAGTGCCTTAAAAACAAGTAAAAAAAATCCATTCAAAACAGTGGCTTTCTGGGGGATATGTTGGGCTAATTAAATTCAAGGTAGAGAGGTCAGCTCAGAAAGTTATATGACTGTTTTCTGGGACTCCAAAGGGTCAATCTTGATAGATTTTCTTGAAGGACACAAGACCATCATGGGGACTTATTATGAAGAAGTTTTAAGAGAATTGATAAATTGCAATGGCGAGAAAAAAGCTAGAACATTTGTGCTGAGAAAACATTTTTTTTCTACAACAACAGTGCACTTGCATTCTTTAAGGGTAGCAAGGGTTGTCTAATGAGAATTCCTCTGGGAATCTTGACCCTATCCACTCTAGAATAGACTTTTGTTATCCCAAATCAAAGAATATTGAAAGGACCACAATTTGAGTCCCTAAAGGATGCCAAAACTGCCATTTTAAGGTGGTGTAAACTGAAAAGCACAGAATTCTTTGGGGAAGAGTTGTTGTTGCTGTTAAGCACCGTTGAGTTGGTTCCGACCCCTGGTGACCCTGTATAGGGTTTCCAAGGAGCAGCTGGTGAGCTTGAACCATCAACCTTGTGGATCAAACTGACTTTTGCAGTCCAGTGCATTTGACAGCGCCACACCAGGGGTGAGGATTAGATGAAAACACTGACTTTAAGTGCATAGACACAGATGGAGGATATATCAACAAACAACAGGTTCGCATGTAGATATTTTTAAGGAAGAGTTCTATGATTCTGTAGCAATACTTTTTGACTTACCCTTGTATATGTATTAGCATAGGGTAAGTCAAGGTAACAGCAAAGAGCTCTATGTATTACAAAAGTCCAAGATTATGTCACCATTATATAGCAGTTTAAGTTAAGTGTCGTCAAGGCAGTTTTGACTCATAGTGACCCCATATAGGGTTTCTGAGGAGCGGCTGGTGAGCTTGAATCTCCGGCCTTGTGGTTTAAACTGAATTTGCTGTTCAAACCAACTTTGTAGTCCAGAGCATTAACCAGCAGCACCACACAGGACTCCATTATATAGCATAAGTTGCATTAATAATGAAGAAACTAAGTGATCATGAACAATAATTATTTCAGAAAGTCATTACATGTTTACATTCATTATAAAGTGTTTTCAGCATCTTGGAAGAGAAATGCTAAAACTGAATGGCCACCCAATTGCACAACTACATCATTGGTACTCATAAAACAACAATCTGCTTAGATTTTTTACCGGCAAAGTTTTGATCATATTAAAACCCTGATTGTCGTTGTAAATTCCACTAATCCAGTCTTCTAATGGAATAATTGTTCTCGGAACATGATGCATAAATCTGAGATAGCTGCAGCTGCTCTTCACTACTGAAACAAATGTTGTAACAAAGCACTCAGTTGATGCTTCCCAGATAATAAATGCGAGTGAACTTGAACCCTGAAAATAGCCAAATAAATGAAGGTTATCTAAAGTCATCAACTAAAGAGAGGAAGGGTCTGTGGAAAAGGGAGTCATTTGACCATAGAGATCTGTCTGAAAACGAACAACAGAAAACATACTCCTTTCTAGGAAGACATATATTCTGATCTAACTGGGTGTGGGAAAATATTTGGAGAGAAACCAGGGTCAAGGACTTACGTTATAATTACCATCCAATTCAGATCAATGACCAGCATGCTAGACATTCGTTTTGATAGTGTTTTGGATAGGAATTCATGCACAATGAATGCATTTGATATTTGAACAACATGAAACCCTCAACAAAACCTGAAAAATTCTGTTTGAAATTTTAAAGTGTTTTCAGAGTTTTAAAAAATGTAGAGACAGTGATAACGGTGGTAGTGTAGTGGACTTTTAGTAGTAATCGTTTTCTCCCATCCCCATACTTGGTAACCATTCAAAAAGATGTTGTAGCATTCTGTTGAGCATGATGTTGAGCTACTCTGTCTGAAACACATTGAATTTGAATCTAAACAAAGCTCTACTATTAAAGGAAATGGGGGATAATGATATAAGTGAAATAAAACAGAAAGAGGCAAACAAAAATTTAGAATGACACTCTACAGAAAAACTGACCACTTTTCTGCAGCAATTTGATAGTAAGGGAAGAACCATGGAGTGGGGAGTAACTTTGAATAAAAGGGATTTAGGAGGTACATCTCAGCTACCAAACCACTAAAGAATCCTGGCTCAATTAAATTGACACAAAACTTGCACGGGATTCTTATTTTTTGCTGAGCCTCCACTTTACCAAGCATGATGGCTTTCTTCAGGGACTAGTCCCTCCTCACGACATGTCTTAAATAGGAGAGATGAAGTCTCACCATCCTCGCTTCCAAAGAACATTCTGGCTGTACTTCTTCTAACTTAGATTTGTTTGTTCTTCTGGCAGTTCACGGTACTTTCAATATTCTTCTCCAACACCATAACTCAAATGCATCAATTCTTCTGCGGTCTTCCTTACTCACTGCCAAACTTTCAGATACATATGAGGCAATTGAAAACACCATGGTTTGGGTCAGGTGCCACCTTAGTCCTCAACCTAACATCTTTGCTCTTTAACATTTTAAAGAGGTCTTTTGCAACAGATTTGCCTAATTCAGTAAGCTGTGTGATTTCTTGACTGTTGCTTTCATGAGTGTTAATTGTTGATCCAAGGAAAATGAAGTCTTTGACAACTGCAATCTTTTCTTCTTTTATTATTATACTATTTATTGGTCCTGCTGTGAGGATTTTCATTTTCTTTACATTGAGGTGCAACCCATACTGAAGACCGTGATCTCTGATCTTCATCAGTAAGCATTTTAAGTCCTCTTCATTTCCAGCAAGCAAGGTCTTGTCATCTGCATATCCCAGATTGTTAATGAGTTTTCCTCCAAATCTGATGTTACATTCTTCATATAATTCATCTTTACAGATTATTTTTTCAGTATACAGATGGAATAAGTATGGTAAAAGGATGCAACCCTAACACACAACTTTCCTGACTATCTCACCTGAATTTAGAGACATTTCAAGAACAGATTTAATGCATTAGACACTAATGACCGAAGACCAGAGGAGTTGTGGGACAACATCAAGAACATCATCTAAAGGTTATTTGAAAGACAAGAAAGAAAGAAAAGATATCCCCTTGTTCTATTTGAATGACAACCTCTTGGTCTATGTACAGGTTCCTCATGAGCAATGTGATCCATAGTTTGTTATGATCCACACAAATGCCATAGTATAGTCAATAAAACACAACTAAACCTCTTTCTGGTATTCTTTGCTTTCAGCCAAGATCCATTTGATCTCAGCAATGATATCCCTTATTCTATGTCCTCTTTTTAATCCTTGATTTTGTGGTAGCTCCCTGTGGACGGACTCTGCAGTTGTTTTTTAACTATCTTCAGCAAAATTTTACTTGTACATGATATTCATAATATTGTTTCCACATCCCATTGGGCTACCTCTCTTTGGAATGGGCACAAATATGGGTCTATTTTCATCAGTTGGCCAGGCATTTGGCTTCCGAATATCTTAAAAGAGTGAGTGCCTCCAGCACTGCAGTCAGTTTGCTGAAGCATTTCAATCTGTGCTCCATCAATTCCTGGAGCCTTGCTTTTCACCAATGCCTCCAGTGTAGCCGGGACCTCTTTCTTCAATATCCTTGGTTTTTGACCATATGGCACTTCTTGAAATGGTTGAGCATTGGTGCCAATTTTTTTTGGTACAGTGACTTTGTGTTTTCCTTCCATCTTCTTTTGATGCTTCCTGCATCATACAAAATTTTGTCCTCAGACTCCTTCAATATTGCAAACTGGTGCTTGAAGTTTTTCCTCAGTTCTTTCAGCTTGATCGATGCTGAGCATGTTCTTCACTTTTGGTTTTCTAACTCCAGGTCTTTGCATATTTCATTATAATGTTGGCCTCTGTCTTTTTGAGCTGCCCTTTGAAAATTTATTTTCTGCTCTTTTACTTCATCATTTCTTCCAGCTGGTTTAATTTCTGTAAGTTTAAGAGCAAGTTTCAGAGTCTTTTCTGACATCAAGTTTGGCCTTTTTTTTAAAAACTGTCTTTCAAAGGACCTTTGGATGATGTTCTTGGTGTAGCACCACAACCCTTCTGATCTTTGGCCATTAGTGTCTAATGCTTTAAATCTGTTCTTACGATGGTCTCAATTAAGGTGAGATAGAGTCTCGGTCATATTTTGGCTCTTAGGGACTTGTTTTAATTTTCTTCAGCTTCAGCCTGAACTTGCATATATGCAGTTGATGGTCTGTTCCACAGTCTCTCCCTAGTCCTGTTTTAGCTAATAACATTAAGCTTCTCCACAATTTTTTCTAACAAACATAGTCAGCTTGATTCCTGTGGCCTACATCTGGTGAGGTCACCATTTATAGTGTTTGAAAAAGGAATTTGCAATGAAGAAGTCACTGATCTTACAAAATTCTATGAAATGATTGCAGCATTATTTGTGCTATCAAAGCCATATTTTCCAACTACTGCACCTTTCTCTTTGTTTTCAACGTTCACATTGCAATCACCAGTAATTATAACTACATCTTGATTGTATGTTTGATCAATTTCAGACTGAAGAAGTTGGTGGTTGTTGTTATGTGCCGTGGAGTAGGTTCTGACTCATAGTGGCCCCGTTCACGGTTTTCGAGGCTGTAAATCTTTACAGGAGCAGAAAGCCTCATCTTTCTCCCATGGAACAGCTGGTAGTTTTGAACTGCTGACTTTGAGGTTAGCAGCCTGATTTGTAACCACTATGCTACCAATTCTTCAATTTTATCATCATTGGCTTTGGTTGTTGGTTTGTAAATTGGAAAAATAGTGG